CACAGTAAGTCAAGCAGACATTAGGTGAACTTTTGTTCTCCCGCATTTGACTCCTGAAAATTACAAAAGTTGAAGTGTATCCATCAAATAAGCTTTCCTTTAGCCACAGATCACACACATGGAATGTGATATGCTCAAGAATTATTCATAAAGACATTAAAAGGAGGGCTTGTGTAATATATTCCCTCTATGAAGTTAACAGTTGAGACAGCCAGCTCTGCAAACCCTAACTTTCCAGTTAATTCAGGAGCTATTATTGTGACCTCTGAAATCAATTTAGCTGGCCAGATGCTCTGAGCACTGTTTATCACACTAAACAAACAGATTTTGGGACTACCACTCAAATATTTGTGTTAACTTATAACAAGACAATGAATAAGCTTCTTCCCTTGGACCTCTGTAAATTTCAAAAGTAATGAGGAACAAATTTGAGAGAGAGGTTGTGTGGGCTGTAGCCCAAACATGTTGTTTAAACTCCCAGTGTAATTAAGTTGGATCCTAATTTGCGTGATTCCCAGAGAACTTTGAACCCCCAGGAAGACTTTGCATGGCAACTATTTTGTTTGTTTTCTCCTATTTTAGGCTGAAAACAAAATGTAATTTTATTCCAAAGCCATTCCACTGACCTCAGAGCTGAGGCGTGGAGAGGTCAAATGACTTGCCCTGGTCAAACAGGATGCATGTGGCATAGGCATAAATAGAGTCCAAAGTACTGGTCCCATGTCATAACTGTAAGGCCATTCTTACTGTGACAAAAGATGTTCTATTTTAAGCAGATACAATAATTTACCCAAGTTGTCATTATGGCTCAACTTTATGAAATACTGTAATGGTGGCAGAGGAAAGGAACTCTAGGTACTTGCAGTAAAAAGGTGTGAATGTGTCAACTGAGATAAATTCTCTAATTCCCTGCTGAAATTCAGAGAAAGACAGTTCATGTAGCACATGCTCAAGTCTCTTCCAAGCACTTCTGTGGCTTTGTGTTTTAGAATTTTGCTGGAGGAGAGGGCTACCATGTTCCAGTACTTCAAGGGTGGCTACCAAGAAGATGGAACTCCCTATTTAAAAGTAGTCACATGGAAAAGACAAGGGGTAATAGGCACAAGTTGCTCCTGGGGAGATTCCAATTGGACACAAGGGATAAATTTTTCACCACAAGGACAGTCAAACATTGGAATAGTCTCCCAAGAGAAGTGGTAGATTCCCTCACTCTGAACAGTTTTAAGTCTCAGCTTGACAGGGTGCTGAGCCATCTCATATAAACTATAGTAGTAGAAAGAGAGCCTAAAGAGGTTGGACCAGATAAGCCTTGAGGTCCCTTTCAACCTGCCATTCTATGATTCTATGAAATATTTCCTAACAATCTGTATTCGTTGGTAATTCTGTTCTCTGTCCTAGGATCTAAAAAGTACTAGCACCAGGTGCCTGTCCTGACATTCCTATTATGTTGCTTAGTAATTAATTTCCGTTATACAGAAGGGGACAGTAAATGAAACTTCCTGGTCAAACATTCTGAAACCCATTTACTTAAAATTAAGCAACTATATTAATAATTAAGCAACTGAATCAAGGAGGCTCAGTTTTCAGAGCTGCCTGTGACCTCAGCAAACAGGAATAGACTCCAGTCCAACAAGCACTGGGCATACACTTTACACAGGCTGTTTACTACTTAAAAAAAAAAAGACAGGATTAAGTATAAACTTGCTTATATTCATCCACATGCAATATAAGACTGTTCTGTAACCTGTGGCTGCCCCCAAGTCCTATTGCCAGGCTTCTAACCACGCTTTCCTGTTTCCTGAAAAAATTTTCCTCACTCTGTCTCCTTTTTTGCAACCGTGGACCAGCAGGGACTGAGCTGATGAACTGCACCAAACCTCCCTTACCCTTTCTAGCAGTTGGCCTGAAAGGCAAATGGAAACTTCTGGCAAGAATTCTTTCTTTCTCTACTAAGCCTCTGTTTGCAGAAAGCTTCATGAGAGTTTTTGCAGCCTGGAAATTAGGCCATTTATCAATGATTATACAGGAAATAAGTGACAAAATAAGCAACAGAGTAACTTATTCACTTTCAAGACCTGAGCTTGAGCTGCAAGACAGTTCTGGCTCTGAAAGTTTATTAATAAAAACCAAACTGTTGTATTTGAGACTAAGTGAGCATCAAGAGCACAAAGAAACATCTCTCCTAAATGGTTAACAGTTAACCCCAAAGAAAATATCTGGGTCCTTACTGATGTAAACCAGCATAACCCACTGAAAATCCCCTACTACTTCCCTCTTCAGGGCAGGGGTTAACGCTGTGAGTCCTGTTACAGAATGCTTCATACATGTGTATGTCAGAGGTAACAGTGTCTGGGCAAATGTAAATGTAAGTAAATGTAATTGTCAGTCTTTGCTGAGCTCTAGACATAAAGTGTAGATGCAGCATCTGTGCACTGGGAGCAATGGCAGGCAATGTTCCTCCTGCTTTTTTCCCCCGCTGCTGAAGAGTTACTGCATTGAATGCCTAGGAGTGAGAGATAAGGAAAAATACAAGCTTGGGAAAACAATTCAAATCTAGAGATGTGATCTTTCAAAGGAGGAGGTTTAAACTACAAGAGACTTGGAAAATATTTGGTATGTATTTAGGTATGTTTTCTTTCTCCTGCTATACATCATCTTTGAAATTCTAAATATAAACTAACTTGAGAGTTAGGCAAATGTTTGTTAATGTCATTATAGGGTTTTTTTGCACCATTAGGAAAAAAAGTTTTGAGGATTACACATACAGGGAGGAAATGTTTGAATCCAAGTAGTGTTGTGTTGCACTAGCTCTTGAGAAACTTAGAAGCAAAATTGATTAGTGACTGGAATACAGGATGTTAATCAGCTAAATATAAACTAACTTGAGAGTTAGGCAAATGTTTGTTAATGTCATTATAGGGTTTTTTTGCACCATTAGGAAAAAAAGTTTTGAGGATTACACATACAGGGAGGAAATGTTTGAATCCAAGTAGTGTTGTGTTGCACTAGCTCTTGAGAAACTTAGAAGCAAAATTGATTAGTGACTGGAATACAGGATGTTAATCAGCAAGAGTCTGAAAAATTGCCTTTTTTTTTTTTTAAATTGGATAAATTTGAATTGAAGCTATAGTCCTATATATAGGCAAGGGCGTTAAAAAATCCGGTTATGAACCTGACTGTCCTCTGAAACTGTCCAATGTTTTTCCAGATGTTAGTGGTACTGCTCCTTGTTTATACTATTTCTCAGCAGCTGTTAAGCTATTTGAAAAAATGACTCAGATGGGTGGTACTGGTATTTGATGCAGAATCTACCCCCAAGGGGCATGTAATTACATACATTCAGCCCTGTAAGTACAAATTTATCAGGACAGCAAACCAAGTAACATTCCTTCAGCCTGATGTAAATTACAAAGAGCAAATGTTATCATAGCCTCTTGACACAACAGGCTGTATTAACTCCTACTACATATTTTTTTTATCAATAGATATAAAACCTTTTTCCTTCCTTGTCTGTCCATCTACGAATGAGAGAGCTAATCCTGCTAATGTGAGTGCACATGCGTAGCTTCACTTGTGGGAGTAATCCTTTCAGAAGAAGCAAACTACCTTTTTGGAGGAAAGGTACGTGCATGAATACAAGCTTGCAGATGTGGTTCTGCAGGCAGTATGCTCTGGAGACCCTGCTCCTGTTGTCCTTAGCATACTAAAATTAATGGAATTACAGGAATGCAGCGCTAGGTTCCAAAAGCATGGGCTCAATTTCAGTTTCTGAATGGAGCTAGTGCTCAGAAGTGTACTGGTGAGCTCATCCACAGTACAATTAATGAGCTAGTTGTATCCTGCTCTCAGGGACAGGTTTTTAGTGCAACTAAGTCGAGCCAGACAATAGAGCTTTAAATGATAACAGAATTTAGTAAGATATATATTTTGGCTATGACAAGAGACTGTGGCCATCTGTGCGATAGCTTTTCTGTACTGTGAAATGAATGCTTTACTTCTGAGTGCTTTTTCCTGTTCAATCTTTGTTTTCTTTTTTTTTGGTTAATTTTTTTTTTTCTGGGTTTTAATTTTGGTTTGTATTTTCCTTCCCCCCTGCTTCTCTCCCTCCCATACTCTTCTTTTGAGTTTTAGAAGAAAATTCCTATGTGAAAAGCAATATAATTCTGTCTTAAAAAAAAAGGTGACATGTATTTTCCTCTATAACTCTTACAGTGTTTCTGGGAAGTTCTCCTGGTAAGCTCTGTTTTCTTTCATCTATTACCTGTTCAGCTCACTAGTGGAAGAATACCACATTTGAATGTATTGTGATTGAAATATATTCTGTATGTTTCCTTCTCTAAATCTCTTACTGTGCTAAGGAAACATAATGTATTGGATGTGTCTGAAAGGCAGCATTCTTGGGTACAAACATAGAGGCATGTTAGAAACTTTAAGTTGCTGCAGAAACAGTTGTCTTTGAATTTGTTAACTACAATTTGAGTGGTGTGTGTGGAAATTTTATAAAAAATGGCTTCCTGGCATTTTAACTGCACTTTTTTCTTACATAGATGCTTGATGCTTCTCTGTTTTCTGACTGATATAATCTGTAAAATTTGCTTCAAATAGGAACAGAGCAGTAAAATATGAAACCTGACTAGAAAAGAATACAAAAAATCCCATTTCAGTAAAACTTTGCTGCTGGTCTCCCAGAAATGTATCAGTGAAACTGTGTTCAGTGCTCTCTTTTAAGAAATAAATGCAAGGAATAACAGTTCCTGAAGATTTCAAGTGTTGTCTTGATTTGAGCATTTCTTGAAATGCCTGTGACTGAAATGCTCCACAAGCTTTGTGCCAGCAACTGACAGCTAAAAAATAATAGGTATGTGAAACTAAGTCTGAGTTTTGGGGTTTTTTTATGATCAAGAACTTAAAGGAATTGCAAGTTATTATTTGCAGTGCAGTAAAACATTTCTCCTTTGACTCTTCCATTTCTTTTCTTCCCCAGAAAGCAACTGAGCAACATGACATTTGAAGATTTTGATAATTACTCTTATTTCTACGACCTGTCAGAGGAAGATGAATCACCCCAGTCCTCCCTCAGCATTGCCCATATGATTTCCCTCTCCTTTTACAGTGTGGCATTTCTGCTGGGAGTGCCAGGTAACGCCATCGTCATCTGGTTTATGGGCTTTAAGTGGGATAAATCTGTTTCTACTCTCTGGTTCCTCAATCTGGCCATTGCAGATTTCATTTTTGTCCTCTTCCTGCCCCTCTACATTACATACGTGGCAATGGGCTTTCACTGGCCTTTTGGGAAGTGGCTCTGCAAAATGAACTCATTTATTGCACTACTTAATATGTTTGCCAGTGTTTTCTTCCTGACGTTCATCAGTCTTGACCGCTACATCCGCCTGGTCCACCCGGTCTTTTCCTACAAGTATCGGACTGTAAGGAACACCCTCATTCTTAGTGGGATCATTTGGATGTCAGCTGCAATTATTGGTGGCCCTGCCTTATACTTTAGAGACACAGCTACAGTTCTCAACAATGTCACCATTTGCTACAACAACTTCCATGTGCATGACAGAGAAATTATTTTGCTGACACATCACGTTCTCATTTGGGTGAGGCTTGCATTCGGTTACCTCTTTCCTCTAGTGACCATGGTCATTTGCTACTCATTGCTGATTGTCAAAGTGAAGAGGAGAACTGTCTTGACTTCCAGCAGGCTTTTCTGGACCATCATTGCTGTAGTTGTAGCTTTTTTTGTCTGCTGGACACCATATCACATATTCAGCATTGTGGAGCTGTCTGCTCACCACAATGAAAACTTGCAAGACTTACTACAGGATGGCATTCCCCTTTCCACTGGCCTTGGTTTCATCAACAGTTGCCTCAATCCAATCCTCTATGTTCTGATAAGTAAAAAGTTCCAGGCCCAAGTCAAGACAACAGTCTCTGAGGTGCTGAAATTGGCACTGTGGGAGGTGAGCCGCTCAGGAACTGTCAGTGAGCAGCTGTGGAGCTCAGACAACAGCCATGCACCTGTGCACTACTGTGAAACTGCTCAGTGACTGTTCTTGTCACCATCCCTCTCCAGAATAGCTGATGGGAGATTTTGAGCTGTTCTTGACTTTACATCTGCCACTCAGATGTGCATCTTTGCATACAGTTTTATGTAAACAGCTGGCTTAATTGCACTTGCTGCTTTCTTGAAAGGTTATTAAAGGCACATAATCTGGACGTGGTGTACCCCAGTGCACATGTAGCCTGAACTGAAAGTTGTCAGCCTAAGTGGAATTGCCATAACTGGGTTTTTGATCAGAAATGTGCTTGTAATCCTGTTGTTTTGTTGTAGTTTCCTACTTTGCTAATATCAAAAGAGCACATAATAAAAATGTTCCTCCTTGCCATCATTGATAACACTCCTGATCTAGGCATTCTCATCCGGGAGGTTGTGACTATACATCAATGGGTCATGAGTCTCCTGATTGTCTAGTATTGCCTTAAGTATGAATCATCTGGCTGCTTCCCATCAAAATGCAGTTATTGGGGGCTCCATTCTGCAGCTGGAGAAGAAATTCCAAGATAGAGAACACTGAATCCCTGCCTTCTTGTCAAAAAAGAAAAATATGGAAATAAAACCTATTTTCTCCCAGCACTCTTTTACTTTATACTCAAAACTAAGACAGGAGATCTTGTGTTTTCTGGTCACTTATTCTTGTGCTTTAGCACCAGTTGGGCACAAAATACTGAGCAGATGTTTCATGTAGGTATTAGTTGTTATTAGTTATTATATAGTTGTTATTGTTGTTATTATTATTATTACTATTATTAATTTGCAAGAACTAGTGAGAATGTTTCTTATAGAAGCTGAGACTAAAGGCCTCCTGCCACACTTGTTCTTTTTTATGTTTCAACTTTCAGGTTTAAAGAGATTTACAACTGTCGAATACTCTTTATTGCTTTGTCAAACAAAGGTAAAGAAATAATATAACCTTTAATTTGCCTTAATTCCAATCTTCTAAACATGGGCAGAATTAACACAACAATATTATTTTAACAAGTTTGTAACCAAATTTGGACTTCTTTACCAAATGAAAGGCAAGACAGCACACCCAGAAAATGGTGTCCACTCCCATTAGAAAGATGAAGTAGTCCCGGTTAGGCTGCATCCTGTTCAAACTTGTTGCTTGATGTAGAATCACACATGCTCCAATGCAAACATATATGCTAAGTGGAGTGGACCAATTTCTGATGCAATATCACTTAGTTAAAATGTTGACTGGGGGATAAAATTCCACTAAAAGTAAACACATAAAGCTTTGGGTAAGTTGGGACAGGTTTTTTGGCCTTGTTATTGGTCTAGGTATATAGAATAGAACTGCTTTTCATATAATCTACCTAGTTTCTGTGGCCTGCCAACACACATAAGTAGCATTTGCTATAATTGAAGCCTTATTTGTAAATATATTTGCTTTTGTATAATACATATATGTATGCATGAACACATCTAATGTTGGTAGCTGTACAAATAGAAACTGACTGTGGTCTCTAACTGTTTCTTTGGGCTCTGATTTCAGAGTTTGGGAGAGTCAGGCAGAATCAGTGGAATTTCAATGCATTTAACTTTGGGCTGAAAAGTTGGTAAGCAGCACTTTCCTTCGAGTTATTTGCTGACTGGTACATGAGTCAACACGGTATTTTGGCACTGTGCTGATGAATGTGCCAAAATAATTCTGCAGTTTTTCTTCACATGTTCCCTGACATCTTTCTGAAGATGATGCATTAGTTCTACTCTCCTGACTACTCCAAGTGAAGTAATAAATTTTTGCTGTTGCCAACGAGTGTGTTCATTTGCTTTTCTCAGCAGTAAAATGCAATGACTGTCCATTCGTAGAGCAACTCCTTCCTAAAGATTTTGGAAGATGAAAGAAAGCCTTATCCTTTCTACTACAGGAATTAAGGCTTATGTCAGCTTCTTGCATGTCAGCTGTGAGCACACATACTGCTATATACAGTAAAGAGCTTGATTTTCAAATGGGGAACATACATATGCTGTCCTGCGTAAATAATTAGAAAGCCTCTCCTGAAGTAGAGACAACAGAGATACAGAATAGAATTGAATAAGGCCAAAGTCAGCCCTGGTCTATGGAAAAAAATAGGTTAGCGATTTTGCAACATAACTACTACCTCATTCACACCATGATCAGTTACATAATTATCTCCAAATCCTTTCTGCAAGAGTAATGGGAGAGTGTTATCTGTTGTGTTTAGGTACCTAAGTTTCTGTTTCCAAAGAGTGTATAAAACAATACCAGCAGTTCTGAGTTGCTTGGACTGAAAAATGTGGGGGAATCTACCACTTCTCTTGGGAGACTATTACAATGTTTGACTGTCCTGATGGTGAAAAATTTACCTCGTGTCCAATCGGAATCTCCCTGCGGAAGGTGCGCACTGCGCCCTGGTGGCCGCGGAGCTGGTAGCGCCTCTACGGCTGCACTGGGAACGGCAGAGCAGGAGCTGCTACAAACACCCTTGTTCGCTGTACTGATTAAGAAGCCCCGGAACAGATGAAAAATTAGAAGCGATTTCACTGCACCTTCTTTCACACCTCCAAAGAAAAGTGCTCCGAGAATACAGATCAGGAGATATGGCTCAAAAATACCGGTGAGGAGCTGCAAGAGCCAAGGAAGACAGCATCAGAAACTGTGCTGCTGAAATGGCCCAGAAAAAGGAGGCAAAACTCTAACAATGGTGCTGCATTTCAGAGGGAGAAACTAGATTGCCCCAGAGCTGCAACTGTGCTGTATGTGCTTCACCCAAGTTAAGCCAGGCTCTTTTGTAAGGACACTTGGACTTGGTAAAGTTAACAGTAGGACTGGATGATCCCAAAGGTCTTTTCCAACATAAATGATTCAGATTCTTTGTGATTCTGTGAGGATACCACTGTAGGCTCAGGTCAGATGAAGCCTGTTACACATCACAGCAGCTCCAGTGCACTGCAGTCCCTCCCTGCTGCCTCTTAACTTCTCCACACCCCCAGTGAGAGCAGTTGTAGCTCTCAACAAAAGCCACAGTGCATTTAGCTGGTTACCACCCTAACTAAGCAAAAGGAATTTATACTATTGTCTAACAGCTAGAAGAGTTTTGCACTTGGCCCAATCCCTGTGTTTTTCCCTTAAAGCCTTTCTTTCCTTCTTCCAGAGGAATTACAGAAATTTCCAAAGATGTGATTTCCCCCTACATGGAGCAAAAAGCATTTCAGATTTTTAAAGCCATGTTAAATATGGATTTATGATAAATATAAATTTTCTATTTCCTCTGCTCGTACTGTTGGTTACTACCAGCAGGGTGTTGAAGCAACCCTGACAGTCAGTTTTAGTTTCTACTTTGCCCATCAACAAAATTATAACTTGGATTACACCCCAGTTTTGAAATAACCAGAAACACAGCCTGTTTTTTGCAATTGCATTTATTCTAGATATATCAAGACTTATATCTTATTGAAAGCAGCTACATCCATTGATTGTACATAATCTTCAAAAGCTGTTATTCTCTCTTCCAACATATCTGTTCCAACTTTGTCATCTTCAACAACACACTGGATCTGAAGCTTCTTGATACCATAACCAACTGGTACTAGCTTGGCTGCAAAAAAAAAAAACAACAAACAAAAAAACCTTTTCATACTCCTGGATTAATGGAATCTCTTAGACATGCAAATCTAAGATTGACCTGATTAAACTAGTTTTCAGAAATACATAATAATAATTTGCTCCATGTTATAAACTGTCTAATCAGCAAAACAGTATTAATTACAAAGCGGTCAAATAGGGTTTGGTTTTGTGGGGTTTTTTTTACCCTCACCAAACCAGTGATGTGGGCATGTAAGTGTTGCTTGCTGCCTCAGGAAATGTGCAAGGAGATGCAGGATAGCAAAGCTAAGTTCTAAAGCTTTTAAAACTGGTATCTGAATCTTAACTTGGCTGCTGCACTAACATTTTTTTGACTGTGTCAAGTTACCAAAGTACTGTAGCACTGTAATCCTGCACTTTTAGCCACCTACATTTTCACAGATCAGCAACCAGTGACGGCAAGTCTGCCTGTTCATACCCTGCCTTAAGGGCCTGAACTCTCTCCCCTCTCCCTGCTTTCAAGTTTTCTCCTACTTACACGACCCCCAGACCAAGCCATCTGCTTGAATGCTTCGAACACACTCCTCAAGTTTGGCCATGTCTGTCTCATCATCCCAAGGTTTCACATCCAGCAAGATTGATGATTTTGCAACAACAGCTGGCTCTAAAGGAAGAAAATCACTGTTAACAGCCAGGAAATTTTCAAAATCTCATTAATACGCTTGCAAATTAGCTTTCCAAGAACAACTTTCCCAATTTATGAACAAAAAGTTGTTATGGTAGTTGCGACAGGCCTCTTGTACCAACGTACGTTTCAGAAGTATTTCAGCCATGCATATCACAGTATTTAAAATGTAGATACATTTGTTCTTGACAACAGACTCATTAGAAAACATGTATTAAGCAGCTGACATTGTTTGTTACATAGAGTCCTTTTCAGAGGATCTGAGAAGGATCTTAACGCTGTGTAACAGTTTATTTTCCACAGAGGGAATCCTGCAACTGCTATAATCATCAACAGTTCCAGACCAGTAGCTGTGGAGGGAGTTGCCTATTGCAGCAATTTCTTTAAACGTTCAAAGAAAATTCTGGGTTTATCTCCATTTATACAGAAAGCTCAGCCTCTGGGTAATGAAACAAGAGGATACTCTGCTATGAGAAAGGCTAAGCTCATTCAAGTGAAGCCAATGACTCCTGTCTCATTCCAGTCAAGTTTATCTATTGTCATTTGTGTTTCTAGACATTCTGTTCAAATACATTAAAATTAGCCCAAGCATAAAAAATGAAATAGTTCTCGGGAGACGTACTTTTGGACTTCTTTGATTCATACTGGGCCAGACGTTCTTCTCTTAGTTTCTTTGCCTCTTCACTTTCCTGAAAGGGAAATCCAAAGTCACAGAAAGGCACCAAAACCTCATCATCTTTAAAGCATTAGC